GAGAAATTTTCTCAAAACAAGAAAAATTTTCTTGACTTAAATAAATTGTCTTGGATCAAGAAACGTATTTCTTGAAGCAAGAGAATTGATTTGTTAGAATAAGTGAAATTTCTTGTGTCAAAAAAAAATTTTTTTTTCGCCCAAGTAAATAATTATGAAGAAAAATATTTTCTTGGCTCAAGTAAACCTTTCTTTCTGTGTATGGGGGTTTTTGGGTGCAGACGATACTCAATCTGTAAATAATACGCGTACACGCCAGCATCTATTAGGCTGTATAGAACTTTATACAGCCCAGGACAATACCACGCATGCGTCACTAATCTTTATACAGCCGACTAGCTTACGTTTTAACTGTAATTTTAAAGAGCGCACCGGACGCATGATATGCTGAAAAGACAATATAATCTCAATATTTGTAAATCAATTGTTTTAGTATAACAGATAAGTTCATTGATGTCAATTTTTCTAACTCGGGGAATTATTACTTCAATATTATAAAATTGTGATTTATTAAAAAATATGTTAAAATAACTGCGTTTAAACTATTAATTAAAATGAAATTATATTTTAATATTTACTAGAAATCTGAATTAATTAATTTCAACCACTAATGAATCGTGGCCCGGTTTTTGTGAGTTTCTACCTATGACTAACTTTAAGACTTTCATGTATTTTTATTTAGAGGGTTATGGAGTCGTACGCTTTTTATTTACAAATTGAGTTTCCCCTGCACGTAAAAACTCGCATACGTCCGCCATAGGACGAAAAATTTTTTAAGCACCATGGGCAAACCACGCGCAAATACGGTCTCGGCGATAATTATTTGCAGCAGGGATATAAAGCCTCGGCCTTATCGGGCCTTGGCTTTGTACTATCCCTGCTGAAAATACTTATCACCTCGACCGTATTGGCGCGTGGCTGGCCCAAGGTACGTAAATAACTATTTGAGCTCTTCGAACTCAAAAGTCTTATAGAAGTTTAATAAAACACAATTTTTTGAATTTTCAAACCACAATAACTTTAAAGTGAAAGAACCGATTTTCTCGCAGTTTATGGCATTCAACGTAGCTTTTTAAGCTTTTTTAAGAGTCTTAGAGCTCGAACTGGTCTTTACTTATTTCAGGCTTGTAGCACTGGGTAACCATGACATTGTCAATGGCTGTAAATACTTGATAGTACATAACGTCGAATGGTGAGTCTGACGCATTAAAACCTTTATTCCGCACAAAAGAAGTTTTACAATTCTTACATTCAACAACTTTTACCATTCGCTGGCTTATCTCATTGTTACGAGATAAGTGCTGAATTATATTTGGTTTTATTTTTATCGATTCAGCTTTCGAAAACGGAATACTGCACTCGATAGTTGATGTTTCAACAGAACCATCTATATCTTCAGTATCAGTTTCATTATCATCATTATCAACACAATCAAGATCAATTAAAAAGTTGTTGAACGTAGAAATTATATCTGAAAAATCGACACTCTCGGAATCATCATGCAAAGAACGATGTTCAGTGTTTCCATGGCGTACTTTGAATCTTCCTACTTTGTCGATTAAAAAACTTCTTAAGTGCGAGGTGATTAACCTACAAGAAGGTTTTTTATTACAGCTTCTTTGCCTCAACCATCCGAATGTACTTTCCAGATCGTCTTGATTGAAATTTCTAGGGGAGAAAGATTTGAAGCCGTAACTAGACAAAATTTTCCACAATTTCTGAAAGCCCTCTACGTTTGACTTCTAATTGACGAGAGTCGGAACTGAGGCTTTTCGTTTCATGTTCTTCGGGTCAAGAAATCGCAGCTGAGCTAAAAAATATTTGCTACAGGCCCAAAAATCATGGTGGAGACTATCAGAGGTGACGTCAGTTCACAATGGGGCTGTACTTTTCGAATGATCTGGTGAACCATTTATTGAGTCGAATAGTTTGTTGAAAAAACTAAGAATTTCAGCCGTAAACAATGAGTCTTCCTCTAGCCACACTTCTCCTTCGGTTGTCTCAATGGGATCTGCAATTAAACAAATATGTTACTCATCACGATTCAGATGAAATTATTCCAGTCACATTATTTACAAAAATATGTAAGCGTGTTTTCGATATTCAAATAAGAATACCTTACGCAAAGAAATTATCAGCGTGAGCGCATGCGTGAGAGGGGAGAAATGTTTAGGTATGTATTCGATTGGAAGATGTAAAATGTAGTAGGGATGAATTTAGCGCGTAAATGGCTTTTAAAATCATTAAAAAGAAAAAAAAATCTATTTCAGCCCTTTTATTAGTATGCAACTCTTATAGAAAAGAAAAACGAGGAAAAATGATTATTTATGATGAACTAATATGAACATTTACCTGGAGATTCAATAACACTTTGTATTAAACTTGCTGTAGTTTGACTTAAAACTTGAGCAGCAGGGCGGACTCGCATTTTTCTAATTTTTTTAACATATATATGCTCATCAGTTAATTTGGTGACCCGTGAATTAGCCATCCGGTTTTTGTCGACTCTATACGCCTTCTTGATGTCATCCCATTTAGCGTAATGAGTAGCGGAGACATCTTTATGAATGAATTGGAATAGCTTGAAAAATTCACGTTTTAATTCAGGCTTGTGAACATATTCCAATTTCTTCGTTAATAAATTGTTCCGAGAACCCTTGGTTAGATGAGGACTGTCAAACAATGGAACGATTTCACAACCACGCCAAAGAATTGTAATATCTGGAAAATAATAATGATATTAATAAGAATATACATGAGTTTTTCAATAAATAGTAGTGCACAAAAAAAACTAATTTTTTGCGCCACGAAAATTTTAAGGAAAACGAAAGTTATTTTGGAGCAAGAAAAAATTTTCTTGGCTCAAGAAAATTTTCTTAGCTGAAGAAACTTTGATTTCATTCAAGAAATTTTCAACCTTCCTTAATATTTTCTTGAGCCAAGAAAGTTTACACTCCAGTCAATAATTTTTTTTTCAGTGTGAAGCTTACACAGAAAAAATTTTACTTGAATTCATTACCTGGATTTTATTTCTGCTTAAACCTTAACCTGTTAGAATGTAAGAGTAAGTCTTTCACAGAATTCACATTATTGGTTCCTTGGTCACAAACCGTCGCTACGGGAATTAATCCACAATCAATAACCTTATCAAACACTGATTTGATACCCGAGTAAAAACATAAAATAGCCGCAACAGGGCTGCAACAGCGCCGCACGGAGTCTAAGTGCCCGCAACAGCGCCGCATCACAGCCGCAACAAATCTGTGATTTAATAAAAGAATTATAATTGCCGCAACACCGCCGCAACACAGCTGCACTGTAGTAAATATTTCTAAAATACTTCGTAAATCCAGCAACACCGCCGAAACACAGCTGCAACAAATCTGTGACGAAATAATAAAATTGTGATTGCCGCAACACCGCTGCAACAAAGGTGCAACACTCAAAAAATCAATCATATATTTTTCATAAATTTTAAAATAATTTATTATATCATGTACCATCTAGACCACTGCAATGACTCATTACTTTATGGTAATTTTTAAAATAACTAGTATATTTGTTAGAAACAATTTTAAGATTATTTAGTACAGAAGTTTGTAGAATAATTAGTTTAAACATGATAATAGTATTGTAGAAGAGATGAAAAAATTTTTCTTACTACGCTGGTCGAAAGTACGGGGTTTCTGTTGCGATTTCACTGCAGAAAGCCTGACATTTATGCCGTGGTCGAGTCGCGCATGCGCTGTACGACGGGGAGCCGAAAAAATGTATTCATGCACTGACAACGAGACACGAGGCGGCAGAAAGTCCGAAAGTCGGTAGTCGCGCTCACTCTATTACTTATGTTTACAAGCCTAACCTTACTTGTGATTGTTATGAATGTATCTGTCTTGTTATGTGTCAATGATTTGAGGTTGAAACTGAGTTAATTACAGAAAATAAATATTTATTTTAATGAAAATTAAAATAGCAGATATTTAATAAATTTTAGAATTAAAAAAAAA